GCATCAAATTCAAAGGTCAAATTACCAGTTCTGGACGAAGTATTCTCAAAAACCCTTCTCTTTTCCCTCCTCATGTTCTGGTAGTTTCCTCTGAGTGCCTATTTCAGTCCATTTGCTCCATGCAGTTGGCTCGAAGCAATAACTTCCTTAATTAGTTGATGCTTCCAAAGTTCAAACCGCCTCCCTCCTTGTCCGATGACATTTTGTGACAAAGCCCAAGAGACCGATGACATTTAGTGACAAACTTGGGACGAAAGTTTTGACCATTTGAATCGATAACATGCACTGACACGGAAAATGGTCACTGGTCAATGTTGTAGTATGTGCCGACACGTGGCAAACAACCATTTTCCGCGTCAGCTTAGATTTAAGTTGTCAAAACTTGTGTCCCGCGTTTGTCACAAAATGTCATCGGGCTTTCGGACTATTCGGTCTCTTCTTTTTTTTAAATCCGAAGTTTGCGGTCAAAAATAAGTGCTAATTGCATCATATTCCACTCGATCATGTTCAGTGGCGTGGCGTGAATTGCGATGTATCGATTGTTCTGACATTTAAACCTATGGTAAAGAATCGATTATTAAGGTGTTCGCTGCGAATACCCTGTTTATCAATACTTTTCCATTGGTTTAAATGACAGAACAATCGATACATCGCAATTCACGCCACGCCACTCAGGTTTAAAAATGAAGTAACTAATTGTAAGCCACTAATACTGGTATCAAAATGACTTCAAGTTTCAAAATTAGGACTAAAATTTCATACTTATGGTAACTAGTTTAAAATATCGATATTATGAGAGAGTATAATCAGCGATGTAGAATTCACCAACTGTCAACCGCAGTTCATCAATGCCACAGTGGATGCGAAGACACTTGTCGATTTGTCTGAAAATAAGTCCAAAATTAATCCTTTCCTCTGAACAACTCGAAAGCGTGGGTTAGACACGTGGCTTCAATCGTGAATTATACCCATTCGATTGAATGATCCTCATTAGTTTCTCAACATAGGGAGGGATTCTCTCGAAACTCCATTCATTCCCGGTTTATTTTGTCCCAATCCACGGCGCACCGCGTCTAAGCTCCATTCATCAAAACAGACGAACCCTCGATCGTTATTATTATTTTTTTTTTAAAAATGAGACGCAATCAGAGACGTTTCCAGCGCCAGACGCACGAGGCAAGCACAAGGTGAAAATAACACAGCGATTTTTCCGGGAATTTTTCCTCCTTAAGTTTTAATCCACGTGGCGAACTTTCATTCGCAGTGTTTATAAACGGTAACTGGTTTAGAAACTTATTAAACTTAATTTTGTCCTCATTCATTTTAGGTTTCTGTAATATCAATTCTATGTGACCCTTTTTTTAATATTTGTCATATATTCGGAAATATACCAGGTGTGATTCCTTGAGTCTTCGACTATTGGCAGATCCTAGAACTTGCCAAGGACTTTCTTTAAAAGGAATACCTATTTCCGAATGCTGCCAATGAAGTATCGCTCAGATTCGGGAGAAAGTTTAGAAAACAAGGCTATCATTCTCCTCTCAAGTTGCTCAAGTAGTCCGTGAAGCACCGCTACAAATAAGACAAACAGAAACAAACACAGTACTGAAATAGAGCAAGAGAGTGGATGCGCGCTGATCAAGGCGCAGAGATACAACTATTCGTGCCTGATGGATGTCCGTGTTGCATCTGCAAAATTGAAGGCGCGATGGCGTGCTAAGGCATCGCAATGATTCGCTCTATGCTGCCTATAAAGTTTCGCTCACATTTGAGAGAAAAGTTGACAAACGAGGCTCAAGTACATTTCTCCTGTCTATTCTTGTGTGAAAACCCGATTATTTTTCTTCTTTTTGTTTTCGATTTTAGGTCTGATTCTTCGTTTAGGATATGTATTTGTAGACCCATATCCAAAGCTCTTATGTATTGGCCCCATACAACCCGAGTGTGTGCTTTCAGAAAGCCTCAGGTCAAGTTGACCCGGCTTAGACATCGAAGGGTGAATAAATCAATTTTTGCCCAAATTCCGTTCGTTCGCAGGGAATCGTGAACTCCACTGAAAAAATGTTAAACTTAGCGCCAGAAATTCGGCTTGAGCAAGTTTTATACAGAGACGAACAGCCATTACTAATACAATCAACTTCAAGTTTTGCCGGAAAATTGAGCTTTCAGACAGGCATGCGGAAAAATACGGTCAAATTGACAGCATAAAGATACGTAACTTTGATACGCAAATTAGATATTGGAAGCAGGAACTCCCACTCACCTAGAAAACCAATTTCCGTTTGAATTTTGAAATCGACACGAATACTCACCAACAAGACACATATTACGCTTGCCTCGATGTTTTCCCTGTTATGTGTGTGTATCCGCGCGCGTATGTGTCGGTGTGAGTGTATGTGGGATGCTTGTTCTGTGTTGACGTGGGATAGTCCGTCCTCCATTCCGGAAACAGAGAAAAATTGAAGGATTTCGATCACGACATCATTGCCACGTGCAATAGTACTGCGTCATCGGGAGTCGGCGTGGCGTGAATTGCGGTATATCGACTGCTATGCCTTTTAAACCTTTGGAAAAGGATCGATAAACAGGGTGTCCGCAGCGATCACCTTAATAATCGATTCTTCACCGTAGTTTTAAATGGGGAAATATCGATGATCGATCATTCACGCCACGCCACGCCTCGTAACATGGGTGATTGAATATTGCTAATCATGAGCGTGAAGTCGCAAAGTCCTCAAATTATTTTTATATTTTTGACGTGATTTTTACGTTATAATTTACAACATACTTCTTATCATACTTCAAGCTATGACCATCAGCCTTCGCAATAACGCCTCTTAAGTTTTTCGAGCGTTTTCATGTCCCAAATTTTTTTAGAAAACTTTTCAATGCACTGGTTTCATTATTTTGAGTTTTCATCCAATTTCTTTTCACGCTAAAATTCACAAGTTCTTGCCGCGTCGGCGTGTTGCCAGCTCGAAACGCGCATTGACGCCTACAAACCTAAGGGGATACTTCAAGCGTTGCGCAATGCGTGAAGTAGCCCTTTAGGTTTGTAGGCGTCAGTGTGCGTTCCGCGCTGGCAGCACGCCACTGTATATAAACAAATATTCTTTGATCCTCTTGAATTTCATCATATGCTAATCATTCCTCCTGATTTTCGAAACTTTTTGAAACACTCTTTGCAACCAGTCGCGAGCCTTTAAGGGGCCATCTCTAAATAACGTGGCGCCCCAGGGGAGGGGGGTTCGGGAAAGGCGTCACGCCATGTTTTCACGTGTTACAGGATAGGAACCAAGGTCAAAAAAGCGTTACGTGGGGAGGGGGATCAATAATGTCGAAAAAGTGCGTTACATAATTTAAGGACTGTCTCCAAGGTAACGTGATCGTCAAAAACAGGGAGAAAGCGCGTTCCCTACATCACAAATGTTTATTAAATTTTAATTTAATATTCCTTAAGCATCAAGCATCGTTAAATTTACCATTTTTAATAATTCATCCTCCCGATTGGTTAAAACCTCGGAAAGTATAGTGCTATTCGACCAACCACAAACTTTTGTAGTAACGTGACCGTCAAAAGTAGAGGTAAGCCTTAATCCCCCACGCCAGGGAAGCGGGTGGACTAATCCCCAGCGGAATCTGGCAACGGAGACGCTCCGTTGAGTCTCGTTGGGGCTATCACGTTGCTAACGATCGTGCGATAAGCTCCTTTATCATTCAAAATGTCTCAAGTCGCGACGCGCGTGGGAGGTGACTGATGTTGCGGATTGCGGGCCGCCGCTTCGAAGGCGCTCGCAGAGCAAAGGTCGTCAACTCTGCCAGCAGCCTGAGCGTGTGAGGGCGGATGGAAGCCTTACCACCTTTTGCGCAATATTCGGGGTGCTACGTTTAACACGTTGCGAGTCAACGTGTTTTAATGTGTTCAATCCCGTGTCTTGCGTGGGAAAAAGGCATATTTCGGTGGGCTGTCGAAAAGCTCAGAAACCCGTGTCAAAAAAGTTCATAGCCCATTGTCTGGAATCTGTCACCGTTGGTTTGTACTTCGTGTCTAATGTTTGCTGGCCTTGATTTGATGGTGTCAGACTCATAAGCCCAACACGTGACACGCAACATCCGCAACGTAGTGAGGCTAATGGACATATTCTGGAAGCACGTGATGACATTCGTGCTGATATGATCTTACTAGCAAAATGAGGTGGCTAATGGTTGAACTATACTCAATGAATTAAAGGGTGGACATGATGTTAAAAAACCAAGTGAGCAATAAAGCAAACTCGCAAGATTACTGATAAACTCTCCCTAAGGAAAAGGCGGGATCAATTTCTACTCATTTCTACAGATCTAAAGTTGTGTAAGTCTGATCGTCGTCGCAAAGGCGACCAGCTAAAACTCTTATTAAGTAATAGAAATTATCAATTAACAAAATAAACGAGAACAGGACATAGGTGGCGCGGAAAATTTTTACTTTTTCATATCTATCAAATGAGTGCTGATAGAGAAAAACAAAAATATTTGAGCTGGTATTCAAATTCTTTCGAAAAAGGCGAATTTCATGTAAATATTCCGAGGGATAGAGAGGGGAGGCAAAATGAAGATTTTCATTAGAATATTCAAATAAAAACGAAGCAAAAAGGGTCAATTCCTTGAATTCTTGAATATTTCAGATATTTCCTTGCGACATATCACGCGAAGCGATGTAGCAGGTTGTCCATGAAAATAAATAAATAAATGGATGTAGCGCGATCGATTATGTTTTATGTTTTTAGCAGGATGTATATTTTACATGTATTCATTTAATTTCTTTAAAATTTATGTCAGTGTTGTAGCATTTAAATTAAGCACGACCTGTACAGAAATTACCCAGAGTCATGTTATTTGAGAGATTTTGATTTAGGTTTTTTTTGTAGTATTGTTTCATGGTTTTTAATTTTATGCTTTTAATTTTTTTACTTCCAATTTTTTTCCCTGTATTTTGACAGTTTTTTTCATTATTTTGGCAGATCCAGCGATTTTCTGTCTAGTTCCAAGACAATGCAAATCGAGGAATAGTGCGATGTAAGTTTCATTCACGCAGAGTTAAAGTGTTTGAAATTGCGTTCGAAGAACTAACCATCTTGAAAAGCGTGACTAACCATTCGAATTGTAATCCGTATTTTGATTTCCATAATAATCATTTGAGAATTTTAAAATGATAACCTTTTTATTTAGTCGCTTCTTTTATTTTAATGGGCAAGTAAGAGGGATGATGAAATGTTACCTACATGAAAAACTTTAAGAAACCTAGCCTACTATAATCAACAAAGCCTGATGATCAGGAATATGGCTTAAAAGCATTTTCAGAAATTTTGAAAATTTTCCCCAGGAGAAGTATAACCATTACTGTTTTTAAAGTTAACCCCATTACCTCCATCCACTCATTTGCTTGTTTGACTATACTACCAAGATACGTATGTGCAAATGACCGAATAGCAGTGCTTCTGCTTACGAATGTAAGATCAATTTCTCATGGGAGAAACTTGCAAAGTAATTAAATGAATGATAGTTGATGTACTGAAATCAAGCAAAGGCGTATGAACTGCAAATCTAGCAGTTTTAGCGTTTAGGAAAACCAAATCCAAATCAATTTTCAAAGCTTCTGAATTAAAAGGAAGGCAGCGAGAGGGCCATGATTACATGCAACTTCTTAAAGTTTCACTTCACAACTTGTTTTCGTTATTTATTGATAAGTGCGTGTTTTACATCGAAATTTTCGGGAAACGGTCGACTACACAATCAAGAAGAAAATTCACACAAAAATTTTGAAAGAAAATGTTTAACCACTCTTGAGTCTGAATGTATATTCTGTGGAAAATTCGCTCCCAAATTACAATTTTTAAGCATCAAAAAGCCAGTTTGAAATTTCTTTCCTCCATAAGGCTCTGTGTAATTTCGAAACTTCAAAAAACACGTATTTCTCAAAACAACAAAAACTGCACTTATGCGCCTTGTCCTCCATGCCCCTCATCAGTTCGTCTTTAAAGGAATATACTAGGAGCGGAGATTTTCAATCACCGCAAACGAGATACGTGAATTGGGAGCTTAACCGTCAACTTACAGTTCCCCGTGAGAACTGAAAGTGAGCTAATGCAATACACGACATCAAGCAGCATAGATAAAGTATCCTCATGCATGTAGGTCTAGAGCAACTGTAAGTAGAGCAACTGTGTGGGCGAAGGTGGGTTAAAGAGGACATTAGATAAGATAAGACAACGGAATAAAAAAACGTAAATTGAGGACTGAATGGAGCCGTTGTTTTATTCGCGCATTAAAATGAGCTAAAGGTTCCGCGCGCTCCATCAATCTTGTTTCAAATTTGCGCCCACGCACGCGGGAGGCTCCCCTCCTCCCCCTCCCCCCCCCCGCTCGGGCCAAATTCCGCCCCTTGCCCGTATCACTGTACTTACGCCTGGGCACCTCCCAACATCGCAACATTGCCCCTTCAAAACCTATTGTCCTTTACCCGCCTGACTCGCTCCCAAATCCATCTCCTAAAATTTAAATGCCATCCTCCACCTACTCACCTCCTCGCCTGTCTCCGCCATACCACGTGCCTGTCTCTTTTCTCGCTCCTTCTCTCTCCCTTCTTTACCGTCTCCCTCTAATTTTAAATTAAGCTACAGTTTCGACTTCTCTCCAGTCAACCGTTATTACTTGTTTCTTGTTATTTGCTGCTTTTCCCTCTACCCTCATTTTGCCCTATCTCTAGGTCCCGATAGACTTTTGTGAGCGAGGTTTATCAGGTCTCCTTCCACATCCGTAAATCCTTTCTGATCTGAAATTCATCCGATCGCCAATTAATTCTACACCTTTTCTATATCCTTTGAAATTGTGCACTGCAATTTTCAGAGGGGAAACCCTCCATTTTGAAGTCTCTTTATTTACACCATGTTTAAATTACTAACTGTTCACCATCTTATTAAGTTCACAACGTAAAAACTTAGAGTACACATGGCGTAAAGACACGTAAAGTAGCGTAGGTACCGTGACTGAAAAAGTATTTTGGTGGGAATCAAAATCATTATCGAATATTTGGCTTGGAGTTGATCGAGAGAATTAGTTTTGTCGTGAAAAGGAATGAAATGAATAAAGCTCACTGCCTTCAACGCGTGCATCATGCAAAAAAGAAGTCAATCTATGAAAAATTTCATTGGTAGACAGGCCTCTTTTTAAAAAAGGCATCCTAACATCCTTAACATAGACAAAAAATGTGACCTAATGTATAATGTAAAAGTTTGAAAAAGAATAAGTATAACGTTAGGTCGCGCGCAATAATTAAAATTGAATCGAATGATACTCAAAAATTTACTCCTTTTCGTACAGCCCAGTTTTTACCTGAAAAGTTTAATTAATGCTTCGGAGTTTCCCTGAATTCAAATTCAAAAGCCAATAATCACAAATGTGCTTAAAATGCCGTCATTTCGTTTTTTAATTCTTGTGCGTACACCTCATATAGGTCACTTCGAAAAACACGGGAATTAAAAACCAAATGTTCATAACAAACCATTGCAAAGACGAAAGATACCAAGCGTTGTAAGGCCCTTATTCAGTATAAAAGGACGCAAACAATCGACAAAGGAACTGGAAAACCAGAGGCTAGCACGATGATCTAATAATTGTCCGATGCATTTATGTTACCCAGTACCACGCTGACCAAGGGGCCGTGATTCTCTTCTAATATTTGGCCCAATTCGAGAAGGGAAATAGATTCGCGAATCATAGGGCACTGATAAAGAGCACAGACCAAAACTTGGATAGAAACCTAGGAGCGTGGGAAGGACGCCACAGGGGGCGGGGAGGGGGAGGGGGTGCAGCGAGCCCTCGCCGGGCACCCGGGCCCAACCCCCCCCCCCGTTTCGCCGCCCCGCCCTCACCCCCACGCAACACTGACTGACGTAACTACCGAATCAATAGTAGTTTTCATGAATGAACTTGTGCATCGCGGGTAGTATTCTACGCTCGGGAAGGAGGGGGTGGAAAGTGGGACGGAGACAGTGCAAAGAGCATCGGGTGAGGATGGGGGGGGGGAGCGCTGGATGGGCTCCATGTTTTGGCTTCTCGCCCGGAGCGAAGCCTGGAGTGCAGTAATTTTTTTTTCTTCTTTTTTTTTTTTGAGCGCCCCTCTCCATCTTTCCGCCCCCGCGAACGCCCCCTCGCGGATGCTTCGCAATGACGCCATGTGGGAATCAAAACGTGGGATGATGAAATTTTCAAGATTGAGATTTTTTAGTGTGGATTCTGGGGGCTTCCTCTTTGAGAGGCCATGATAAGATCCGACCCTCCGAGGAGAAATTCCGGTAGCGTTTCGAAAAATCAAACGGATATCGATGCTAACGTAGTAGAAGTATAACGACGAAAACTAGGGTATAGCGAGAAAGTAAAATACTGAGGGACGTGGCCCGAACTGTGTGTAACAAAGTGGTAAAATAGAGGTGGGTCCGCGCTATGTTGCAAGGAAATCAAGGCAAAAATTTCAATCAGAGTCAAACTTTTGGAGTTTTAATTGGCTCTAATATTTATTAACTTTTTGGCTATGTTTCCTCCGCAAAATAGTGTGGACCCAGCCCTATTTTACCACCTTGTTACATGATAGTAGATCTACGTATGCCTCCAATATGCTATCAAACAGTTTGACATCAACTTTGTTTGAGGCATATTTTTCATGACATGATCCTGGTGTTTTTTTATAACGCGATGATGAGGGTCGTCAGTATGCTGTAGGGGTGACTGTTGGTGTGGACAGCCCTCCCCCCTCCTCATTTGAATTTGACCACCCCCACTTGGAAATTTTAGTAAATTTTGACAACATTTTGAAAAATTCTCGAGATTTTTATTGTATATAATTGCCCCGTCCACCTTACACTAAGGTAAAATGACTCCTCGGGTATAGTAATCCCATTGATTCCCAAATAAGTTTCAACGATACGGAAAATCAAATCAGTTAGATGCGCATAGTGCAACTCAGGCGCATCGTAAAATTCGAGTCAAAATTAAATTGTTACTGTGGTAATGAAAGTTCCTCTGGTCCGAGGAGCGATACTTCAGTCCCATTGTAACACACAGTAGAAGTCCCAAAATTACATTGTAACCTCGACAAGTTATTTTGCTCGAGCTTAAAATATATCACGAGCGTTGTTGGAGCCACAATTCCTTACCCTCCACACTGGAAAAAAAAAAAAACACATTGGAATTAGAGTCCAGACTCTTAAAAACATCGACAAGAAAAAATACTCTTGATTCAATCAGATTTAAGCTTAAATCAAGAACCAAGCCTCTTAATTTGAGCGGATTTCCTTTTGATTTGAGCTTAAATCTGTTTGAATCAAGAGTCCTTTTTCTTGTCAATGTTTTCAAGAGTCTGAACTCTAGATCCAATGTGTTTTTTTTCCAGTGTACGCTAGTACACCGATAACTCAACATCATGATCATTCTCACCGAAAACTCACCTTCTCACAGTTCCACCACTCATCAGTTGGCATCGACTCTGATGTGGGAAGTTTTGGCGGAAATGGAACAGCTCCGTCCCGGATCCGCCAGCTCCCGGCCCGCGCTCGGAAGGCGGTAACCCCCTTCCACCCCGTTCGGATTCCGATTTTACTGGTTTTTACTCGCGCGCCCCCCCCCTCTCCAGCTTCCACTCCCGCCCCCGGTTAAAAAGTAGCGGGTCCCGGTCGCCCGGGGAGCTGCTGCCCCCTCTCCTCCCCCGCTCGGCAGCAGGCACCCCCGTCAATTTCCTCGCCATCGCTGCGCCCGGAAAATCGAGAGTTTGCAACCCACGTTGCCTCCGCCCTCGGGAATTACGAATGTGTCATCTCAATTTCTCGAGGACCGGAAATCGAAAATGTGCGACGCGCGTTGACATTTGAAATCGAGAGTAGTCCTAGCTGTGCCATAAGCCGATTGAGGCAGTAGCGTGGCGGCGTGGCGTGCTTTGCGATATATCGATTGATCTACCATTTAAACCTATGGAAAAGGATCAATATGTAGGGTGTCCGCTGCTAACACCTTAATAATCGATTCTTTACCCTAGCTTCAAATGGGAAAATATCGATAATCGTTCACGCTTCGCCACTGGATTGAAAGAGAAAGAGCCAAAATATATTTTTATATATAATTGAGTCGCAAGGCCGTGCTCGATTTTCGAGGCAATATTGTTTTTTGTACGTGTTTTTTGTAATATATCAAAGTATAAGTCATTTTAGGGTTTCCTCAGAGTAAGAAGCAGTGGCGTGGCGTGCTTTGCGAGGATGGATATACAGGGTGTTACGATATACGATGTACGATGTACGGGGTGTGCGAAAACCTTAATAATGATTCTTTACAATTACTTCAAATGGAGAAATATCGATAGTTGATCATTCACGCCTCGCCACTGGTAAGGGGTATTCATCTCCGTCTCTAAGAGACCCTGTATGATTTACACCATGATGAAAGGAGGTTCAAGAAAATGTCTATCATGGAACCATATAGAGAGTAACTTTTACAGAATTTCAGTGGAATCCAACAATTTTCCTTAGGAAAGAGATACTTTTAAGGGAATACGAGAGTTTTCTGCTTTTTTATAGAGACACACATGCTCCTTTAATTTTTGAGGGATTTTAGCATTATGAAAAAAATTATTTTTTTTCGTATTTAAAATTTCTCCTAGACTGCTAAAGCTCTATTTCTGTACTTAAAATTGTATCAACCATGGGTGCTTATATAAATATTCCACCATTTCATGTCATTCTATATGTTACTCTAACGCCCTCTGGATGCTTTCGTGAAACAAACAGTTTCGCTCATAGAATCCGCTTCATTCGGAGAATTTACAGAACACGAGCTCATGAGAAATATTGGTCATACAGTCGAAACATTTTAAGTCGCCGTCATAACTGAAGCTCTCGAATTGCGCTCTCGAATTCTCGGGACCGAAATTTCAGTCCAAAGATAGCACTTCCGGCGGATTTAATGAGCGTCAAGCCGATTTCCGGTCTGAGCGAATTTTACACTACTCAAAGTGTGAATGAAGCGCTGTTTATGAGCTGAGCACCGAGGCGTTGTCAGAAGGAGTAATGAAAACAAAATTCTTCGCGAGGTTGCCAGGTTTTGCAATGAAATACAGATATTTTACACGGATTTTTGGGAGGAAAAGTGCTAATTTTTCAGCACAATCTGACAACAATGATTGCTTGTAATGCCGAAGTGCCTTTTAAAAAAGTAAAGCAATTGGGTTTTGCAAGAATCAATTTTATGGAAAGGCGAGAGTTGTGCGAGTTGTATTCGCAGTAAATATTGATTTCTCGATGATGAAAACTTAAGGGCGCTTTTAAGTGTATTTCATTAAATTTTCTCGTTGTTTCGCTCTTTTGCTAAGTATTGGGGGAGATCCACTTCCTGAACTAGACTGCAGTTGTATGTCTATAAGGTTTTGCCACTTATGCAAAAAAATATCGCATCGCCGATATTGGCATGCCACTAAAATTAAATTCCCTGGAATTTTGATGAATTAATGATAGGAAAGTGTTCAAAAACTATGTTCAATAGTGCTCTAGAGGAAAAACAGATGCGTCGTTAATGCAAACACCAAGGCAATATTGCAAAAATAGCACTACCATGTATGCATACGTTTGGTTGTATATTTATTTTGAATTACTTTTTTCGTTGCCTGGTCAATAAAAAAACCGCGTCCACGTTTCAATTTGCCCTGAACGTGAGCATTCTTCTATCTGCTTTTAGTATTGTTTCAGCCTTTTATTTGTTTCTTATCTTTCATGTTTGATAGCACCTCAATTGGTGTTTCAGAAATCAAAGAGATACATATTTACGAATGGCGCGATCAGTGTAAAAAAAAAAAAAAAAAAAAAAAAAAAAAAAAAAAAAAAAAAAATTGTTGGATTATTGTGTAATATTTCTGACCATGTGACAGATTTACAATTCATTCACCAAGTCTGCCCTCAACGTCACTTCACACACAACGCCTTCGAGTACTTGATTATGCAATTTACGATACTTATAAGTTTAAATATTTGTATCGCCAGTTTTGCTCTCTTCAAGCACCATTCGTTATCTTTTTCATTTCAATTATCATTTCATTGAATAAATAACTATTGCTTCGATTACGATATTGTGTAAGGTTTCTCATGGAATGAGAGAGCACGGCAGATATTGTCACCTTCCGGCCAAAGTATCACAAGCGCCATGCGACGTTTCAAAATTTCCGCCGCCGTTTTATTTTTTTACGGATACATTGTTGGTTAAATTTGTTTGAAAATTTTACTGAATTTTGTCGGCAGCACGGAGAAAATTCAGTGAAATCTTCGAACGGCTTTGTTGAACAATTCCTTCGTAAAAATATAACATGGCGGCGGAAATTTTAAAACGTCGCATGGCGCTTTTGATACTAGGCCGAAGGGTGACAATTTTGAAAGCTTTCATTGAACCTTGGTTCATCACGGGGATTTTTTGATGCTAGCATCCGCACTGTCTGACATCAATGGATTGTGGGCGGATGTTTATATTTTGCCAATTTTTCAAGAGTCGCATCCGAGGCCGGGGATCACGACGAGAGGGGAGGGGTGCTCAACAGGGCCCGCTGCCAAGAAAGGGTTTTCATTCATAGAAAAGGTGGAATTCGCGCTACGCGATCCACCCATTAATGACTGCGCGAAAAATCGTATTTATAGTTCGTTGGGTCGAGTGAGTAATGAACTTACAAGTACATCGCATCCGACTCCGCCATCCCCACGGATTTTCCCGCCCAAAGGCCATCCTCACGAGTTGGCAATATTGGTTCTCTTCCATTTAAATTCATTATAAAGATCGATTTTTGGTAAGGCAGCCTGTCTTTCATCAAGATGAGGGGAAATCATTATTACCAACTTACTCGGATCGCCAGTGTTCCTGCGTCATAATTTTGCACCCTTCCATTCCTGCAGCAATGGGGAACAAATTAGACTATACATTTCGCAGTATGGAACCACTCGACGATGAAACTCTCATAAACCACGCATCTCGGTTTATGACGTTGCTGACCAGAGGCGGATCTAGCAATTTGGCAACACCGGATTTCCTCCATTTAAACCTACGCTAAATAATCGATTCTTGTCGGAGCACCTGGCCCCTCCAAGGATCGATATATTTCCATAGGTTTGAATGGAGAAACCTAACAGGGATACTTCACGCATTGCGCAATGCTTGAAGTATCCCTGTTAGGTTTGTAGGCGCCAGTGCGTCGCCACGCAATGCGTGAAGTATCCCTGTTAGGTTTGTAGGCGCCAATGCGTCGCCGCTCCGCTTTGTGTCAGGCTCTAATATTTAATCTCGCGGAGTCAGCGTTTTTCAACTCATGATTTTGAAATGTTTGCACACTCTGTATGGACCATCTCATTTTAATTGATGAAAAAAAAATATGTTTTAAAAGAAAATATATTGTGTGTTTTGTAAATATTAAGGTAGTTCCGTATCAAACTTAATGATTTCCAAAGCACACGAATTTCTAGACAATTTCTTATAGCCTTTTATAGCCATTTTACAGGCATTTTATACTAACTTGTTGAGTACATTGAACTTCTTGTCCTTGAAAGAAATGTCGGGTGCGTCGAACGAGTGACACGTTACGTCACAGAATTCTAAAGTTTAGGGACCCAAAAACTTCTGCGACTGGTAATTTTAGTGAGCCATTAGCGAAGTGTCGAAAGTGTGCGTGTGTGCTCTGTTTACCTCCAAAAAAGTTTACTGGTTACGTGGGTAGCAAACGGGAGGTTGACCTTTTAACTTCGTGCTGGATCGGAAAGTTTAGACACGTTGTGTGAAAGTTCAAAGAGGTAAATTGGCAGTTTAAAGTGTCAGATGAGGAAAAATCGCACCTTGTTGGCACTTATTTATTCTCAAAAAGCGACATTCCTTCACAAAAATGTTTCGCCCTATACGTATTTATGGGGGACTTCCAGGTGCATTTGATACCAAACGCACAAAATAGGAAAGGATGGGTTCTTTTGAAACTTGTTTTGGCCTTCACATTTCCACAACTTGGAAATGTTGATCGGGGTATCACTCTTCTCTCCTCTCCTGTGAAAAAACTTTTAAGCTACAGCAAGATCGGTGAATCTCTACGAGTGTATTGGTGAACTAAAAAACCGATGGTTAAAAACGGTATCACTGATGTACTATTTGCATTTCTTTTGTTGCAGGGCGAAGAATCAGGCAAACCGCAGAAGCGATCTCTGGTGACGAGCGAAGATGCCCTCGTTAAGGATCTAGGAGCGCTGCGAAAAAAGGAAAACTACTTCCGACAGTAAACTAGAGGTGACGTTAATTTGGTCATATCCCAGCTCCGCATCTTCCATCCACTCAGGTTGGGGCAACCTGAGTCAACTAACACGAGGGAATGTAACTCAACCAGGCTGTAACGCCACGTCTCCTCTCCATCTTTTATATTTTCCCCTCTTTTTTATTTTATCTCAATTTTTTAATCGCTCCTTTTTTCAACTTTGTAAAAAGGTTCTGCTGTGACGGCGCAACCTTTTTTGGGGGAATATTTGTTTGTAGCGTCATTGAATCAAGACGTTAAGAGCTGAATTAGCCCATCCTCCGACCTTATATTTTCATTTGTAATGTGATAGGAAGCACTATCTTAGAAAAAAACCTCTAAGGCATCTTTTCCACATCTTAAATTTATTAAAAGTCTCAATTTAACTGTAATCCTGATTACAGAAAGTGGGGTGCAAACTTAGCGAAGACACTGAAGGTGTCGAGTGCAGATTGTGAGGGGAATCCTCCACATTGCACTGACTACCTATTCAGTGGATAAGAATGCAAAAGTTTACACATTTAGTGAGTTTTTAATATTCCATCCTCTTCGAAAAATATTCGCTGTGGCTAAAAAAACGAGTTCATTCAAGCTTTAAATGCATATAAAGAAAAGTCTTGAAATGACGTTTACCTGACATTTATTCACCCCCCCCCTTCTTTATAAATACTTCTGTGACATTTTACCCAACTTACTCTTGTAAGTATTCACTTTTTCTACACCTATCCACCTAATTATGTTACGTCTCATTTCTACTATCCACTCCTCCTTTTTCCATCCTCTTTCTACATATGAAATTGACTTCGAAGGAAGATCGTAAGGAAAATATGTTTGAAATTATAAAGAAAATCAATAAAAATTAATTGATATCCAAGTGAAAGTAGTAGAAAATAAGTTGAAAAGTTGTGAAATTTTATTTTTAAAAGATACGCTATCAATGAATAAACTATTTTATATAATCTTTTAAGAAAGTATTTTTATACATGAAATTCGGTAGTGATCACGAAGAACGATGCTCAAAGCTCAGATCAAATATTATTTTTTTTCTTGAAGCGGGAAGAAGAACAATAAAATCTTTAAGTATGCAAGTCAAGAAGTAACAAAATTCCAAAAGAAAAAAAAATTAAGCAGGCTGCTGCGCTAAACTCAGTTTTCGAAACCCTCTTCTCAGAGAACCTGGTCCGAAGTGGAAAAATCTTGTACGCATAAGTTTTTTTAAAAATCTCAAAAATTATCATTCACTCATTCATTTTATAACTATTTCTGATTACGACGTTGCATATCATTTACACTTTCTCAACATGTCTGCAACATGAATAAACTACGATTCTCCGAAAAATGTTTCGATTCACCAATCAATCATTTATGTATAGTTTTACTACTTGCGGAAATATAATGAAAGAAAAGAAACACCTTCATTGTATCCCGAGGATGAAAAATCATGAATGCTGCACCTAAACAGATGTTCGATTAGGCACTTATTATTTAAACTATGATTACCAATTTTCAATCAACTCTAACAAATTAATGTTGTTTAAATACCTGTATTAGCTCTTCTTGTCTTGATATATATATATTCATTATGCAGCCTAAAATCTAGGTATCGTCTGTTTGTGTCTTGAACACATTTTTACGATACTACTAATTCAAAGCGTCATCGCAACTGATGAAAGACGGCAGTTCAATTCCAAAAAAGGAACGTGTTTTAGTTGACGCAAACAAACTGTCAATTATTTTCAGATAAAGTCTGCCGTTCTCAAAAAAAAGGAAAAAAAAAATACATAAGCAAAGACGGTGTGAAGACGAACAAAACAAACGATGATACCTGCCTATTTATGTTTAAATAAAAGCTACAACTGTAAGGAAAGAAGTAGGTGTATACTGACTAGAAATGAGCACAATCTAACTCGAGTTTAGGGTCATATTCATAGGTCGCTATTAACTTAAAGGCCCCCATATAACTAGTGCATTGCCCATAGCTTTAAGCAGGGCTTCACTTTAAAAGACCTCAACGGGTCATAAGAGATCTATTAGTGAGGGGTGCCTTCCTGTTAAAAGAAATAATTATGAAGATGACCCTATTTGTGGAAAAACAATGTGAAAAAACAATCTTTCGGTTTTCTTTAAGCTTGTCAATTCGTGATCTCAATTTTTTTTAAAATAAGTGATCATTGTCCTTTATTGACTTTCTTTTACAGTAAACTGTTAAATTAGTAATTTAAAAAAGCGTAGGGAAATTGATGATTTGAAGTTTTTTTTCTCTGCTCTCTCTTTGAGCGTCAAAAACTAACTTATTCTTTCCCTTGAAAAGACTTATTAGAGTTTAAGGTTAACTTTTAATATTTAATTTTTATATTTGAGTGGATAGCTCCAAGACGGCGACGAATCCAAAGGTTGGAAACGAGGCAGATCAAAGTGTTAGGGAATTGTAATAGATGTAAAAACGCGAGTGCCAAAAATTCTTTAATTCAAGGGTGATTCTTTGAAAAATTCAAGGCTTAGTTTTCGACGCCTATATTATGTATACTCCCTCAAATTTCGTCGGAGAACACTCTCGAAAATACGTACTTATTTTGTCGTGAATGGATGTTGCTGTTAACTTTGTTGAGTTTAGGCTCAAGTGCTAATCTACTTGCTCCTGTCTCAACTTTCGCTTGTCTCTTACTATAGGCTCGCGCCCCCACGTTGAGTCAAAATTGAACCGCGTTTAGCAGAAAGGAACCAAGTCACATCGGCTCTTGCCGAATTTAATTAGGTGATTTAATATTTTACAAGAGAACGTTTGCGCGGATTCTTTTGAAATTTTTGAGGAATTTGCTTTATACTATGCAGAATATTCGCTGAAATTTGCTCAAAAATCCGCACAACCGTTTCCATCTAAAAAATTAAATTGCCCGATTAAATTTGGCATTAGCTGACGTGGCTTGGTTCCTCTCTCCTTAACGCGGTCCAATTGAAAATTGATCGTAGGATACGGCTGAAAGGAGTGATTCTCATCGTTCACATTTCAAAAGTGGAAAGTTTACAGCTTTACTGTAATTTGACACTCACAGTGTAGCCTGGCCATGGCAAAAACTCAAGGAGTGGATACATTTTTCCGGTAAACACAGGTTTCTCACATGAGCAAGTCTACGTTCTTTGCTGTAGAGAATCTACGGAAAATCCAGAAAAAATTTCTATTACGAGTGGTTGTCTGCTATTAGCAAGTTTTGCTATGACTATCTTCATTGTATGCTGCTGTTACAATTATATGGAGTTTTACCATGAGGAGACGCTAAAGTCTTTTTTATTCCTTGAACGTTTGAGACCCTCTTATTAAAAGCGATGTTGCCGTAGGCAAGAGAAAAATAGCTGACTACGCAAAATTCTAGTTTAAGTAGGGCGCGCGTTCTTTGCGCGCAAAATTTTTTGTATGAGGAACAACTGAACTGCATTCTACAATAGGAACTGCAGTTTCTGTCTCAGTTTAGAAACAGCGTATGTACTTTTAGTTTTCCTACGCACATAAATGTTTCCATCGATGAGCCATGTCACGAGGAGTCGTGTGGGATGTGGGGGATTATGAAGGTGTATGTTTCGGCCTTTCACACCAGCCATACTGTCTATTACGTGTGTGTAGTTAGACACTCTTGTTTGTTTACCCGTGTATTTTTTTAATAATGAATTGTTTGAATAATGAGCAATTGTGAATGTATGTAAAAACAAATAGATTTTAATAAAGAAGACAATTTTGTATGAACACTCAATTTTTTTTCTTTCATTTTTACTTCCAATGACCTATATTTTGAGAAACTAAATAACCGTTTGTACACTGCATTGCAGCAAGAAGTTATTCATCACTGGTAAAACCTACTAGAATAATCGATGACTAAAGAGCAAAACCAGTGGCGTGGCGTGCTTTGCGATGCATCGATTGATCTGTCATTTAAACCTGTGGAAAAGGATCGATAAACAGGGTGTTCGCAACGAACACCTTAATAATCGATATTTTACCATAAATTCAAATGGGGAATAATCGATTATCGATCATTCACGCTACTCGCGCCTCGGCACTGTTAAAAACCACGTATTGCAGTGTTTCAAAATATCTGCTCCTAGGCATTTTATTTTTTCGAAAAAAAGTCAGCTTTACAGCTCGAAATTTAAAATTGAAATTAAAACAGAATATCCCACTGACATAGAAGAAAAATCAAGGGAGTTTTCAAGAAATTGAGTTGATAATTTTTCCAATGAAGAAATAAAATATGACAGGAGGTCTGCAACGTCGCAAACGGAGATACGTGGTTTCGCATTTTGGCTATCGGTAGTGTATGTTATAAGCTGTTCGGCTTAATCATGTGCCAAAAGAAAATGTAAAATCGCATTTTAATCCGAAAATTTTCAGCATCGGGTATAAGAGATTGAACCTTGAAATAGCTCTTTCTCGAAACGATCGTAGCTACAATTTAGTTTTGCATTCTGGAGAGCCCCCCCCCAGCACATTGTCGTGAAATATATTTCTATGGACAGTGACAATGATGTCTCAGATTTGAGATTATTGGGGTTATTGGGGGTCAAGTTTTGTAAACCTATCTCTAATAGGCAAAGCCTTCCATTCATAAGAAATGAACAAAAAAATTATGGAAGAACAAACATGCACAAAATTTGGTGCAATGATTTTAACTTCCGCCGCCGCGCCGCGCCGACCGCACCGTGTTTGGCGCAATGCGTGAAGTATTCACGCAGTCTTGTAGGCGCTATGCGTTTCACGCTGACCGCATTGTGTTTGACGCAATGCGTGAAGTATTCGTGCAGTCTTGTAGGCGCTAATATGTGTTACATGCCGATTGCCGCGCCGAGGGCTTCTCCTTTTCATCTTAAGTCTCGTCATCATTCCTCCCCAAGTTGCGCCGTTCTAGGCCAAATTGTGTGTTTGGTTTCTCTCTTAACTCGACTGATTAAAGATACTGTCTCTTGTATCACTGAAAGACGACAAAATTAGAAATTACTATACTCTCAGGAAATGAGAGATTTTGTAGCCTTTTCTCGTTTGTAATTTTTTTTGTAAATCCGATTTTTTTTATAGCTACATTTTAAAAAATTGCAAAATTTGGCCCTAGATTTGCCCCTATGGACCGCAGCCCATGTGGCCACCCCCTTAATCCGGCCCTGCTAATACATGTACATGCTGAAGAGGTGCATTCCTCCCGGAGGCCAACTGGAAAATTTTGAAATCAAATTTTATGCACGAGAAAGAAAAGTTTTGCAAGGCAATTACCTCCCTAAAAAAGGTATGACTTTACCTCTTTCTTTCGCAATTGAACGAATTTTTACAGAAAGGAACTGTGTCTCTCGCAAACCCTATACACATAGTTCCTTCTAGCATAAATACGTCCAATTAAAGATTGACTTTCTCTAGATACATATATTATAGCTAATAACCGAAACCAGCTAAAGTCGATAGCGGCTGAAATGACCGGTCATTGTCAACAGTGGCTGGCCAATGTCCAACATCGGCTTATTTCAGTCATTGGCTATAACATATGTATACTTCGGAATATTCTGAGCAGTTTACTGATTCAGATTTTGGGCACATTCTGAAATCAAACAGCCGTAACAGAATAAAATGGGACCCAAATGTTTACATATTTCAAAGAAACTGTACATATTTCGAAAGAATTATTTCGGTAGGTTTATGAAGGTTCAAACGACTAATCCTATCCAAAAAGCGACTGAGTCAGTGAGTTGGAAACAACCTGCCTTTCACAAACTAAAATTATCAGAAGTAAGTAAAAGGTATGTAACGGCCGAAAGAGTCAAAAAAGTTGAAGAAAGTCATTAGATGTTGAAGAGAACGTTGTTGTCGAGTTTATGTCCGGAGGTGGCTACCGCCATCCATGATCTATATTTGACGAAGTATGTAGTTTGCTACAGTTTGGAATGAAATATCCAGTAGGTTAATCATTCATATTATAACTATTATACAATAATTTGAAATGGTCTGGCTGGGTCCGGACTCACAGATCCTCACACGTTACCCTCATGATTTTATATCATAGCATAATATAAGTATAATAATATAATAAGCAGTATAATAAGTATAATAGCATGATAAAAGTATAGTATAATGGGATGATATTGACAAAATCAGGCACCTAAAAACATAACAGCAACCAAAAATGTCCAATAGTTTTTCTAAAAAACATGTCAAAGTCCACAATACCGTACTGGACCCCTTTTTTAGATAGGTCCACAAATCACCTACTCATATTAGCGTCTATACTAAGTCCTGATCCAACTGTGGTCAGGTACTTTCCAGAATCAAGGTGATGACATTCTAGGTTCCAGATCTCTGGTAGTTATATCTGTGGATGGTTCCTCCCATTTGACAGCTAAGTCAGCACCTGGGTAAATGTTTTTCCAAGGCTCAGCGAATTACGGAGCGACACTAAGAAAAAATACATGGGAGGCTCAAAATTTTCTCAAAACAATTTTTGGCGCGTATACGTAGTATACCGCCTTTGCGATCGTTTCGACCCCCCCCTCGATACAATAACCGAGTCCCCTAGTTCCTTACCGAAAAGTGACTACCGCGAACTTCTGAGATTTTCCAAAGCGTGTAAAAAGTTTACTAATCCGTCAATAATAATGATTAAAATTTGTTTCTCATTCTGGGGCTCGCTAGTTTATGTGTAATGAATACCAAGAGTCTACGTTTCTTGGTTTTTTTTAAAAAAACCTTAGAATGGGGCGCGCTGATTTAAAATATGCATATATAAGCGGAAGCAAGCGAACTGATTCGAGGATGGCTGACCAGTTCGGCACTCCTTGAATGAGAATTTCACTCACTCCGTTTTGTTCACAACGTTGCTTTGACATATCTCCACAACACTGTTATCCTTTTCAAAAGTTG